ATAGAGAGCGCCAGATTCGCAACGCCTATGTCGACGGTCCCAACGAACGTTGGCCATATTTTCATTTGAAAGAAATCGTGCTGGTGGCAACATCGATACAATTTTGATATTTAATCAAAATAAGAAGCTGTTCCGTATTGGATTATTTATGATTACGTTTTAGGAAATTATTCAGCAAGTTGTTTTAGGATTAAAATGTTTTTGAACACCGAAATAGAAAGAATGCTGTCTGGTGGCATCATGTTGCGATTGCGTATATCAAGATATCAAAGTGCCCACACACCAAAACTTGCACTCATATCGCAAATAGCTGACAAAATGGCAGTTGGTAGGAAATCGGTGTTTGCTTGTGGAGTTGTGAAGTAAAGAACAGCTGTTTTATGTTTGCAAGCGCAACATCTTTATTCTCCATTCTGATAGCTCTATGAAATCAATAGGGGTCTTCATCATAAGTAATAAAATCTTGATAAAGTGATAAATTTATCACTTTGATAAAGGAACTGTCAAACTTTGTATGGGAATCTATTAACCCAGAGTTTATCACTTTATCAAACGATCAATCTTTACAGGTTGCTACGTAGTCGCTTCTGCTACAAGCATATAAATGCAAATAAATACAATGTTTAAGGTAAAAATGAAACGTAACTAGACAATAAATAAATAATAAAAAGTTTTATGCAATTATTTACAAAGGTAAATTGATAAATTTAAGCAATTTATCCCTTTATCTCTTTAGATGAAGATTTTAATATTTAAAATATCGCTGAACCTGATATCGATGTATCGTCATATTAGCTCTGATAGAAATTTTTAAACATCGATTGGTAAAATCGAATTTTGAACCGGTATTATCGATGCTCTTAACAATCGATGCATTGTTTGCATACCTTTGCCCGAATCGGTTAGGAATTAGCTACAAAACAGACGACCGAAAATAATGTAGCTTGGCAGCAGAAAATGGCAAACAATTTAAGTTTAGGTAAATAAATTGAGTTAATTTAATACGCCTAAATGTTTAAAAGGGTGCTGCAATATAAATGGAATAAATTCGTTCTTCTTACTACACGAAAATAACTTAAATTGCAACAGCAAATTGTTTGCGTGGGCGCATCACCGTGTAATGGCTGCTGGGAATATTTTTTCGGCAGTAAACCAATCCAAAATTTTGCAATCAAAAACCGAAAACGGTTAAATGTGTTTTAAATTAATTGCTAATTGTGGTGCACTTAGTCTTCTAAGTATTTGGACGCCCCAAAGACGGTAGCGTCTGCCAGATACTCGTGCAGTGTTTGTTGTTATTTTTGTTGGTATGTGTGTGCGCGATATGTTAAAGCTGGAGTTTGGGTGAATCAGCACCGAGCTGGTTGGAGAATGAGCGTGTGTTGTGTGATGCCAATAGCGTGTGTGTTGTGTGATGCCAATAATGCTGTTTATGACTTAAAAGTTGTTGTTGTTGTGGCTGTAGCAGAAGTTGGTGCAACGACTGGCGCCAGTTAACCGATTCAGGGTCAGGGTTATTTCTAGCGTGTGCAACAAAAATAAATTGCTGCTTACTTTCATGCACATGTACTAAAAGAGAGCGCGCAGTTAGTTGTTTTTGGCAGGTGTCCCATTAATGATTTTATAACACATGCTTCACTTTTCGCTTTTGTCACCTTTTCAGATACCGCAAGCATTCCTAGGGCAACCGGTTCACCGCCCACAACTTCAGCCAACACCACCAATGCCAGTACCATCCATCGATTAAATGTACAACAGCAGAAAGATCCGACTACAGAGGGAACGCGTGCTTCCCGCTATAGCACATCATGTGCCGGTTGCTTGAACACTTTGCACCTAAGTCGCGAAGAATTCGTCATTGCATTGGGTCAAGAATGGCATAGCGATTGCTTTCGCTGCTCCGTTTGCGATGCACACCTGCACAATTGGTATTTCGAAAAGGATGGACTGCTCTTCTGCCGGGAAGATTACTACCAACGCTTTGGTGAATGTTGCCAACAATGCAGTGCTATCATAACTGGTCCTGTCATGGTAGCTGGCGATCATAAATTTCATCCCGAATGTTTTTGCTGTAGCGCCTGTGCTGTGTTCATTGGCGAAGGTGAAGCATACGCATTGGTCGAGCGTTCAAAACTATACTGTGGCAATTGTTATAAGCAGCAAGAGACACATGCGATAGCGGCTGATTTGGAGGCATTAAGCGCTGGTGTTGGTAGAGGGGGCGCAGGCAGCAGCGGTAGTGGCATAAATGCACCTGGCGGCAACGCTAAACCCATACATTCCATACGTCTAGTGGAGATACCCAAGGATGCGACACCGGGTCTGCGATTGTCGGTGGATAATGTGAGCGTGCAACGACACTACATTGATAGTGTAGGCGGCGGCGGGGGCAGTGGTAGCGGGAGCGGTGGTGGATTTCGTGTCAATTCGCCGACACTTGGCAAGCGAATAGACGGCCCACTCGAAGTTTGCCCGGCCGTGCGCATTTCTGAGTGAGTATTGCTAGGTTTGGGCTAAAATGCTAACTCTAAGCTGCTTACTACTTACATTGTTTAAAAAGCTGCTACTTATATCAAAAATAAAACCTTTTGCGGTCTTATTTCCAGCGCGACCGCTAACTCAACGTATTTAAAATGGTGAATTTTCACAATAAAAAGCATGTTGAATCTTTTTGCAATCGATTTAAGCGTCCAGTTCAAGGCGGTGCAACACATTTACTCGAAATAGCCATACATAAGCATTACAAACAAATTTTTGCTATGTCTCTCACGTCGCTTCAGTTACTGTTTAACTCGCAAATTACCTGTAAAAAATATGTATATACAATACACCATCACTTGCGTTCGACTGTCAACCCATTTAAACCAAGTGACAAACGTCTCGCTTATTTATTTACTATTTACATTGAAAATAATTCGCATACCTCCACGCTTATCAGCGCTTTGCTTTGCTTTTCTTGTTTATTTATTTATTTTTCTGTTTCATCTCCGCTCACTCCGCACACCATAACTGGGCTTGTATCTGCTTGCACCACTTCGGTGCAATATCAAGCGCGTAAGACTAAAGCTTCTAGTATTCAGTTGTGTAGACGACTTATCAACTTGCGGCAGTTTCGGTTAGATTGGCCAATAAGCAACTTACGTTGACTTTTTACTTTTAATATTCATGTCGCAATCGCAAAAAAATATTGTATTAGTCATACAATGTCGCGGGAGCGTGCTTGTATGCGTTGATAAGACTCCTAACTGGCGAACAGCGAGCAATTGTTCGCTTAACTGGTCAGTGCGTTGTGATAGTGGTCATCTGTGCACAAATAACTAGTAGATTTTTTTAACTAGAGTGAGTAGTAAGCAGCTAAAGTCAACCGCCGAAAAATAAGTAAAGACTTGAAATTTGCTTTGAATAAAGATTTGTTTTTTGTTAATTAGACTTTATTTAGTTTATTGGATAACAGTGTGTATTGTTGGAGAGTGTGCCAATTAATAAGCTAATGGTTATAAATTCATAGGGCCTCATGCATAAAAAGTGAGCTTAAACTCAGACTCAGTTTTCGCACTGATGAAGTGAGCTCAAGTTTAAGAATTTGGAGATGAACTTTTTTTAAATTTATTTTACGAACAAGTAGAAATTTTTATGCACGAATAAAGGTATTTGGAAAAATTTTCCAAATTTCCAAGATTTTTTGGGGAAATTTCCAAAGAACGTGTTCAATCGTTTTAAACGGAGCAAGTAAATGAAGAAATGGATATTTTACAGTTTTTGGAAAATTTCCCATGCGTGATATTTTTCTAAAGTAGAGTATAAAATATTGGTTAATGACTGCTTTTATTGAAAAATTCAATAATTCCCCTAAATTCAATGTGAACATCGCCCAAATATTTCATTTTGTGATGCTGTCTAGCTTTAACTAAGGAATTGAAGTAAGTTACTGCCAGTCCCTTTAACCTAAGTGATGCCAAAAATCGTATATAATGTATGTGCTGACTCCTCCAATACGCATTGTAATCAATTATAAAATATCTCCAATTAATATAAATTATTAACTGTGTATATTTACCGTCATTTACTAATTCATTACTTTACATTTTTCTCTCTTCTTGTACACCAAACACACCCGCCTCTTCACTGTCGCTTGTATGAATTTGTTATTGTTATCGCAAAATAACGCTTGTCGCACATCAACAACCCATTGCAAATTAACAATTCAATAACAAATATCTACCAAATATTTGTAAACGTAAATATCTATTTTTATAACAACCACCAATTACACCACCACCAACAAATGCAGATTCATTTGTAGAATATATGGTCGTGTTGGGAAATATGTTTTCTCCTTTATAACATCGGTTATCGATCAGTGTTGTGGTAGCGATTATAGGTAAATTTAAATGCTTTTTACTAATTTAAAATTTCTTTTTGATTTTAATACCTATGTAGATATCAGCGTAACATGGATTTCGTTAGAACGGTAATTAAGCGTAAAAGATCCAGTTATCTCTTGCAAATGATATTAAAGAATGAAAAACGATTTTTAAACGTTTTTATAAAAATTTGCCGATAGAGAAAACTTTAGCGAAATTTTTTAAAAGTTGTAATATTTAACATTATCAGTTATGAGCTCGTTTTGGTTACTTTATCACCTTAGCTTAACTTTTTATAAAAGTTTTCCTTAAGTGATTTTTTTTGGTATACATATTTTCAAATAAGTGCTAATTTTAGGGTTAAGCCATTTAGACTCATTTCGCTTCCTTTACTACTTTAGTTTTAAACTTCTTGCAATTCTGGCGCAATTAAATTTTAGAAATGTATCCTCTTTCCCAAATCCATGTATCACGCTTGATATTCAATAAAAATCGGATCACTTTTACTGGAAAAAGAGTAATATTTTCCTCTTCCATCCTCCACTCGCCACAGAATTGATGTCAACTTGGCCAACCTACACATTGGCGATCGTATACTCGAGGTTAACGGCACGCCCGTGAACGATTCCTCCATCGAACACATCGACAAATTGATACGAAGCACCGAGAAAATTTTACAGCTCACCGTCGAACACGATCCTGTGCAAGTGTGCCGCAGCTGTAGTCAAGCTGACATACTCCATCGACCCACATCGTACAGTGACCTCCCGCCGTTAGCCACATCCGCGTCAAGCATTGAAGTATACGGCCGTCGCAGCGTCACAGACTCGCTCACCGGCAGCACTAGCACCAGTACTATCGCGCCACAGAGCAACAGCAGCGATTGCGGCAGCGGTGGCAGCTCACCCACACGTCTCACCAAGCAGGACAAGGAACGTATCTACAAGCGCAAGGATGAGGGCTATATAAGCGGCACAAAGACACGCCAGCTGCGCAAGTGCAAGAATCTGAATATGATTGCTGCCGAACAGGCGCTATTGACGCATACCGGTTCCACACATTCCGTTGGACCAATCGGCAGCGGTGTAGCCGGGTGCTGCGCTGTTGCAATTGGCAGTAGTGCCATCAAAGCAGCAGACTCCACACAGCTGGGCATGCGTTTACGCGATAAGGAGCGCTGCTCAAGTATGTCGAAGCTGTTGGATGAGCAGCATGCGCCCTCAGCCCAAATTTACGACTTGTCGCGCACGAAGTCGTTTCGCGTGGAGCCCAAGCCGCAGCGCATCTTCCGCGCATCTGATCTGGTGTTGGGCGAATTGCTCGGCAAGGGGTTCTTCGGGCAAGTGTACAAGGTGACGCATCGCCTTACCAAGGAGGTGATGGTGCTCAAGGAGCTCTATCGCGTCGACGAAGAGGCGCAGCGTAATTTTCTCAAAGAGGTTGCGGTGCTGCGTTCGTTGCATCACAAGAATGTGCTGCGCTTCATTGGCGTGCTCTACAAGGATAAGAAACTGCATTTGGTCACCGAGTACATTGCTGGAGGTTCACTCAAGGAGCTCATACACGACTCTGGGTTGCCGCTAACGTGGCCACAGCGCATCTCATTCGCAAAGGACATTGCTTGCGGCATGAGCTATTTGCACCGCATGAATATTATACATCGCGACTTGAATTCTTTAAATTGCCTTGTGCGGGAAGATAAGTCGGTGATAGTGGCGGACTTTGGGCTGGCGCGTATCATCACAGCGCCCTTCTACAGCGCGGGTGGCGGCAGCGGCGCGACTGTAGGCGCTGGTGGAAGCATGCTAGCGGCGAATAGCGGCAGTGAACGTTGGTCTGGCGGCGCATGTCTGAGTCCGAACGGCACTCTGGGGCGCAGCAAGAGCAGGCAGCGCAGACAGCGCTACACAGTGGTGGGTAACCCATATTGGATGGCGCCGGAAATGATGAAGGGACTCAAGTACGATGAGAAAGTGGACGTGTTCTCGTTCGGCATCGTGCTGTGTGAGGTGAGTGTTTGTGAATTAAAATAAAAACAGCTGAAAATATATTTTTTTCTATTGACAGATAATTGGAAGGGTGCAAGCCGACCCGGATTTCCTGCCACGTACCTCCGATTTCGGTTTGAATCAGAAAGTGTTTCGCGAAAAATTTTGCCAACAGTGCCCTGATGTGTTTTATAAAATCGCCTTTCTTTGCTGTGATCTCAATCCTGATAAAAGGTGAGTGAGAATATATGATTGCTTAGAAAAAGATATTCTATTTTTTTCTTTCTCCTCCAGACCGTCCTTCGAAACACTTGAAATCTGGCTGGAAAGCCTAATGGCCTCCATCGCCGTCAACCAGTCGCTGCCCGCCGAACTGCTCTATGACATCGAAAACTACCAGGGTACCATAAGCGTTAGCAGCACGCCGGACGGCATGCTCACGCCTAAGTCGAATCGTAGCCGCGATGATCTGGACGATTTGGAAAAGCAACGAAAGCAAACACCACCGAAGCCCGCACCCGAAACACCCGCAGTTGCTGTTATCCAGCCACCGAGTGCAAGCGAGCAAATTATCAAAGAGGACAGCGATTTCAACGACTCCCCGCGAATGGAAGGCAAGGAGAATACTGTCATACTGCGCAGCGATATGCCGAAATCGCCGCACTTGGGCAAAGATTTTTCGCCCACTGGTGAGCGCATACGTGACAGCATGCGTGCGCGTCGTCGTCAGCGACTCATGCAAGCCGCGCAACAACGCGGTCTGACGCCGGAAAACAAAAGCACCGATCGCGTATTGGAGGCGGTGAAGCAAACGTTGCAGAACGGCGCGCGCGCTGGGACGCCGCTGAGCAGCTGCAATGGCAGTGGTGCTGTAGCGAAGAAAAGTCGGCCATATGGCGAGAAAGGCTTTCTGCTGGACATTAATCGCGATGGGGACCTGCGGCTGAATAACGTCAAAGACTTAAATTATTGCTCAGATTTCGACTCCAGCTGTGACACGAGTCTCAACTATCACGAAGTTAATGCCAACGAAGGTATGAAGGCGACGGATTGCGAAATGCCTGCCACTCCCACAATGAATCGGCCGGCAGTGTTGCGTGAAGAGCGCGTTGAGGAAGAGGTTGAAAAAATGCAAGAAACACAAGCTGCTAAACAGGTGTTGCTAACTGATAAGCAGGTGGCGGCCGATGCAATCGATGCGTCGCAGGCGTCCGATCAAATAATCACTGTGGAGGTATCCGCGCCCGCGACCGTTGGCGCTGCCACACCCAGTGAAGAAGTCGACGCCGCAACGCTGAGCACCATGCAGCAGATACAGAAAAAGATCGCCGCGAAGTCCTACAGAACTGCGCTCGATGATATACGCACCAAACTGAATTTGTGCCGCAATAAGTTCGAAACCATCGATGCGGCGAATCGACGCAATTTCAGCAATTCGCAAAATGCAATGAAAACCTTCTTCAAACCGCGCGCCTCACGTTCTGTTGTTACGAGTCCCACAGAGCCTACAAGTGCGAATGAAAGTGTATACAAAACGCCACCTGAGGCCTTAAAAATGTTCCAGCGTCTTGAAGCGGCTAGTAATGCGGGCGCGCCTAGCGCTGGTGGCACGCCACTTAGTGAGCATGTGCGCCTGCCGGGACAGAGTGTCAGCGCTATTACCAGCGGCAGCAGCAACACCTATCGCATAAATCAAACTCCGATTTTCGGCCGCAAGCAACCGCCCAAACCAGTTGAGTTATACACACCGCATTCTGAATCGCTGGAGAATCTACACAGCAGCCTGCCGCCCATTAGCGCGTCCACACAAGTGACGGCGCGCAAGGAGAAGAGCAGCACGAGCGGTAGCGGTAAGCGTGCAAAATCGCCGAAGCGTCCTATAAGCACATTCCGCAGTTATCTAAATGAGGCGGCAGCAGAGGCGGAGGAGGAAGGGAATTCGCCGACGAGGCGGGACGCGCCATTGCTCGGGTCAGCTACAGCGCCACCGGCAGGGTTGGAGACGACACCGAAAAAGAATCGCCGCCTCAATAGCGGCAAAGATAGTACAAATGAACAGCGTTGGCTGTCACAGGCGCCAGGAAAATCGACAACGACGACGGTGGGGGCGAGCAAAAGTCCTGCAGCGCGCATTTTTGGATTGCGCAGTTCAGCGAAGTCATCAACGGCAACGGCGGTGACGCGGGAAATGACGACAACGACGCAGGCGACACAAAGGCGAACACTTTCGCCGACTAAGGCCAGCGATGCGCGTCGACTGGTGAGCAAGCATGAAGTGCAAAACACAGGTGAGGGAATGCTGAAGATTAGATATTTTTTTTTTGTTTCATGCACTGCGTCTGACTTCTTTGTAGGCAGTTCTGACACTTCTCAAGCAAAATAAGCTTTCTAACTCATAATTGCCAAAATAGTTTTTTTTCGAAAACCTTTTGCTCCACAAAAATATTTATTTTTGTAGTTATAAGAAAATTTGTATTTATGTATACATTTGACCGCATTTCCGTCGTTTTCGTTGTAAAAAACAATTTGTTTAACAAGCACTTATGTTCACAAAAATGTTTTACATATTCGAAAAAATTTGGTTCCAAAAAATTTTTATTTTTATAATTTTTAATTCTTATCCATGTTTACGGAAGTATTTCGGAACCTCTGAGTGATTAAAAAGCAATTTGTTCTCAAAAAATTTTTTACTTTAACAACTTTTTGTCCACAAAAATTTTTATTTTTTGAGTTATTGTAAAGAAAATTCGTATTTATGCGTTTGAAAGTATGTCCCACTTTTTCGTGTTTAAAAGCATTATGTATGCATACCTTTTTCTGAAATTTTTTTTGTAGCTTGTGTAAAGAAAATTTCTATTTATTCATATTCATGTTTTTGAAGGCAACTTGAAAAACTTCTTTCAGAAATTTTTGGGTTTTATTAGATTTGTTCTTAAACAACTCAATTATATGTTTTTGACCTTTTACGCTTTTAAAAAGCATTCATTCTATTTGCACAAATTATTTTTGTTCGAAATACTTTTGTTCCAGAAAAATTTTTGTTTCTGCAATTATTGCTAAGAAAATTTCTTTTTTTATATTTTTTTAGTGCGTTTTCGAGCATTCATGTTTCTAAGTTTTTTTTTTAACGAAACATTTACTTGCAGAAAAAATTAGTTTTTAGAATTAATGAAAAAAGAATTCGTATTTATTTTTTCGAGATAATTTCCACATTATTTGTGCTTAACAAGCATTTGTGTTCATAATTTTTTTTCGAAAGTTTTTTACTAAAAAAATTAAGTTTTTGGAGTCATTGGAAGAAAATCGCTATTTACATATCGACTGCTGAGTGGAAGATCGACCTTTTTTGGCAGCCATTTCGAAAACGCCCTATCTCAAAAACCTTTTCAAAAACGCCCTATTTCAGAATTTGGTTGAAGAACGCCCTATCAGCACATTTTCAATACATTTTAAAGTGAGATATGGCGTGTTTGAACCGAATCCTGAGATAGGGAGTTCTCAAACAAATTGTGAGCTGGGAAGATTTTCAATAAAATTTTGAAATATAGCGTTCTTGAAAGAGTATCGTTATATCGATAGTCGTCTGCAATAACGACACAATTTAAAATTAAAAAAAAACGCTTACTACCTTTAAGTGGCTGTTTTCCCTAATCCGTGCCTACTCTATTTCCATCCCTTACTAAAGTAAGCAGTAAGGATTGCTAAAGTATGTACGAAAGATTAGACACGGATTCGACAGGGATTAGAGACATGAGCCATTTAACAGTAGTAACCGTTTTTGTTTTTGAGTTTGGAATTGTGTCGTTATTGCACAGGACCAGGACCATCGATATCTTAAATTCAGAAGTTTTCAATGCTTATTATAATTCTTTTTCCCAAATTTTTACAGCACAAACAACACAACAGCAACGCCTGCGTCAAAGTCATGCCAATAACAGTAATTATGCAACAGCCACACCTGCCCCGGCACTGTCAAGCGCCAAAAGTACAACTAGGCTCGCCATACTCAGTCCAGAAAAAGTACATCGCCTTAATGCAAAACTCACCGACCAAAAGTCTAAGAAAGTCAGTGATACCAAAGCTACAGCGGTGAGCAGCACAGCAAACAACAGCGCTGACCAAGCGCTACAACTCGAACGACGTAAGCGTAAGCAATTATCCACGCGGTATTAAAATGAAAGTTTTTAATAAAAACAAATAGAGACTAACCACGACACAAGTGTCAAGCGAAAGCAATTAGTAAGCTATAAAGCGAGTTAGAATTAAAACGAAGGCAAGAAACGAAGTGCGTGCAAAAAAAGACACAAAGAAGAAAACTGATGGAAGGCGAAAAGTGTAGAAAAATATATATTTTTCGAAATTATTGCTCACCGAAAATGAAAGTGTAGAATCGAATAATACGCGAGCGCAAATTGAATTCTTTATATTTGTAGAGCGTTGCGTGAATTAGGTTTAAAGCGAAGCATAAAAAGACAAGAGATTTATGAATATATATGTAGTTATCGCAGCTAAAATAAAAATTATCTGGTTAAGGAAGTGTGCAGAGGCGATGTTCGATATTTCGATACGACAGCAATACTAACACATAACTACATAGTAGGCCTATGTAAGCATTGAAAATTATTTTATTAACATAATTAAGCACAAAGTAAGATATATACATACATATGTATATCTAAAAAAAATTGAAAATATTTAACAATTAATTGTTAGCGGGAATAAAGTGCCTAAAAATATGTATTATGTAATATTATTAAAACTGCTTTTTACTTAACCGATATTACTAAAAAATCAAGCGTTATAACGACAGAAAGTGGGCATGGCAGCAAGTACTAAACCAAGCAGGCACTAGGCGCAATTATTTCTCAACTTCACGCTTCAAAATTGCTCTGAAAACGCTTGGAAAACAAAAATTACCGTTTAAAATACACATATTTACTACCTCACAAAATAATACTTAATATTGGACTACTATATAAAACATTGTACTAAAATCGCTGCCACTAAATGTTCGTTCACTATTTTCATTTGCCAGCGACTTTGCTATGCGCTTTTCAGTCAGAACAAAATATATAACAAAACATTGCCGACATGGTAAACATTTAATTTTCCTTAATGTACCGCCAAACCACCTACACTATTAGTGCCATTCAAGAAAAAACAAAAAAAAAGAAATTTAGCGCAAAAATAATTCTAAATACAATTTGGAAGCGCACATACTGAAGTCTATTAAAAAATCTATTACAACTTATAATTATGAATAATCTGATTAATAAATGCTTACAATTATTATGTATGCATATTTAAAAATATAGATATATGTATAAAGTTTTTGAAATAAAACTTTTCGAAATTGCTCAAAAAAATTAAAAAATCTGGAAACTTAAAAACATAGTCCACTACCAGTAAAAAGCACCAAATTTGATCTTCGAACTTCTATTGTCGAATTTTCGAAATTCAAAAAATTATATAAAAATTGCTCACTGACATCATCAAACGAAAAAATTTGATGTTCGAATTTTCGAAGTCAAATGTTCGAAAGTTCTAAATTGAAGAACTTCATTTCCCTTGCCATAATTGAGTTAAATTATTCATGAATTAAATTAAATTGTATCATTGTATTGATTTATATTCATTTCTCCTGCAAAATGAATGAAGATAAATTTTATCATTGTATTGAGTTACTAAACTCCACGCGATTTGATTCTAGTTTTACAACCCTGTAATATTTTATCAATGCTTAAACCATGTTGAACTTACTAACATATTTCTATTTTAGCAACTTTACTCCCCGTAAGTCTCAGGAGTCATTTCTGTAAGAACTTCTTTAACATAACTTTACATTACTTCGAAATATTTTTTTGCCAATACTACTTATTTACAACTATTTTACTACTTATTTACATATCATTAACCTAGTTTAAGGACAATTAAGTTTGTTAAACAAAATAAATTATAATAAAGATATTAACAGTATTTAACTTAGTTGTAGGCAAATATTTTACAAAATGTTAACATTACTTATTTTAATACACACTAATATTATTTTAGTAATATAATTTTTATGCCGTACGAAATATTTTTTACATTCCAAATTTTATAATAAAAAAATTTTGCAAAACAAAAAAATTTAAATTTTCCAAAAGAAGCATTGAGTGTCAGAACATATTTTAGCAAAATAAAAATAAAACACATTTTCGAATAACTAAACTAAAGAAAAAAAAAATAAAATTTATTTTCTATTTTTTTAACAATCGAATAGCCAACGAAGAAAAACATTCCAGATTTCATATAAAAAATATGTAGTTTAAAAAATAATTTAAAACAATTTTCAGTTGTTCGTTCAACATGACTAATTTAAATATTTTTAACAAATTTATGAAAAAATGTTTACTATAAATAAAGTACTTTGTTTGCCATTTTCACACAATGTGGTTCTTTTAAAAATATACATTTTTTGAAAATAAATAAAAAAAAACTTAAAAGGTTTATTTGTCACTTATCAACGATTCTTGCTAAAAATCTTATACTTTTTTAACGTCAAATATACGATTTTTATAATTTTTAACAATTTAAATGGTGTTTGTGTCTTTAATTTATTCATCTTTAGAATTTCCGAATGGTTTGTTTTAATGACTAGCATTCGAGAACTAAGAAATAAACGTATTTAATATTGTAGTGTAGGATAGTTCTTAGAAAAATGTTTGTTTTTAAATTTGTTACTTTCAGAAAATTTTAGATGCCATTTATTTCTAATGGATTATTTTAAATAAAAACTTAAAAATCATGACTACAGATAAATAAATGTTTAAACGATTTCTAATTTAAAATGCTTAAGCCACACAAATTGTATATATTATTTTTTGAAATTTTTCATATAAATTTAAAAATTGTTCATAAAATTAATTTTGGATTGAAAAACGTTGTAAAGGTGGAAAAACAATATTGCCCAACAAAAGATTTGTAAATAAATAAATAACACAAAATTTTTTGCTCGAGCTTTCGAAATTCCCACTTAAGCTTTCGAATTTTCCGAATTCAAAAAATTGTACAAAAACTCATTTGCACTATTCGCATAAACCAAAAAAATGTATATTCGAATTCTAAAAACCCTTCGAATTTTCGTACTTTAATGTTCGAATTTTCGAAACTCAAAAAATTATAAAAAACCCCGTTAACTGCTAGCATAAATCACAAATTTTTTTATTCGGATATTCGAAACTCAATGTTCGATTTTCGATGCTTCATTTTCGAATTTAAAAAAATTAATTTTTCCTACGATTTTGCCAGAAATAAAATTTTATTTTGTTAGCTTTACTGAACATAGTCGGTGACTTTTCCACTTTACTTTGACTTTTGAAGCCGTTTATTTTGAAGTGGGAATAAGTCATTTCTACCTCTTGTGCATAAATGGTTGGTTATTTCAATGTTAAAAAGCATTTAGTTATAAATGACTGTAAGAAACGAATATAATACAAAATGAGTTGCACTATAAAAGCTTGTGAAAATCACAGACAAAAAGGGCATGTTTAAAAAAAATATTAGACATATAACTGTGGAGATTTTTCGAATTGCAAAATAACTATTTTTCGAAAAATAAATACGCGAAAATTATTGAAATTTTCAAGTCGAACGTGGAGCTCAATATTATAAAAAAAAAATTAAGTTTAATAAATTTTCTCAAATGCAATAGGAAAAAATATTTTTCGAAAACTAAAGTTTTGAAACGTAATGTTAAATTAAGTCAAAAGCTCAGTTATTATTTAATAAAAATGCTCAAAAGCAGCTGGCCAAAAGAAGGCAAGCATTTTTTTTACAATATTTTCAATACAGAAAATTTAAAACATTTCGGAATTTTCGAAATTTTCACCATTTTCTCATTTGGAAATATTTTGCATTCACTAAAAATGCATATAAAGTGAAAATTCAAAATTGGTCAAACTTTGAAGACATTTTTAAAAAACCTTTTCAAAAGTCAGTTCACTAAAAAAATGTAGTTGAAATCGAATAAATTCTTGTGTAATAATGCCGCCTACTCCACACTCCCAGCAAATATTTTTCAACGAAAATTTTCCCTCAAATATAGAAAAATAAATACATAAATTTCTGCTAAAAAAACGAATTAAAACATATATTAATTTTAACTATTACAAACGCTTAAAACTTGAAAAGAAAATAAATCTATTGATTTTGCAAGGCTTTTAAAAAAATTTAAAAAGGTGTAGAAATTAAAACGGTATAAATTAAAAAATCGATTAAATTTTCAAACCTTAAAAAAATGTTAACAAAATCTGCTGTAATGAAAATTGTGCAAAAAAATAATTAAAAAAATTTTAATAAGGAATTCTCAAAGCTCAAAACTTTAAAAGCATTCCATTAAGCTTTCATTGTCGTAACCGCCATTTATCATGTTGGTTTTAAAATTTATCTGACCTTGAATCGCATTTTATATGAATTGTTGTCGAATGCGGATTTCCCTCAAATAGGTAAAAATTACCACGAATATTTCATTAACAAAAATAAAAAAAAAATATATCTATATATTGACGTTTATTTTAGATTCAAAATATACAAACATTGAATAAAAAAAAATCCCTTAAACTTGCATTACTTTTAAAAAAGAAAAAAATTGAAAAAAATTGTTTTTTGTTTTAATTGTAGAACCAAATTTTTACTTGTGCATTTCTTTGTGAATTCCTTATTTTTTTTTTATAAAATTCAAATGTTGCGGAGAGAAGTGTTCGGAATAAACAATATTTAGCCGCTTTTAATGCTTGATAACTAAACTGTGATTAGTACTGAAAGAAAATAAAAATAAATGAATGAATAAAAAAATTAAAATGATCAAATTAGCCTAGTATCCAGAAAATTTAAAATGACAAAAGAAAACTAAATAAAACAAATAAAAAAAGTACTGAAGACATGCAATAAAAAAGCAAACTAAACTAAAATGCGACTATACAAAAAAATAAATCTAATACTAAGTGCAATTTTTTCAGTAAAAATTTGTGTTTAAAGGGAAGATAGATTTTAAGACCTAGTTGAGAAAGCGACTATAAAATCACTAACTATTACTAAAATTTCTATAAAATATCTTAAAACTATACTAAAAAATATGTAAAAAGAATTGTATTTAATTTACAAGCAAAAATCAACAAATTAACTAATTTATAAGGATACCATATAGACAACGGAATGCAATAAAAACATAAACATATATTTGCATACAAAAATAATTTGTTGTTATGACTTAAGCGTTAAGACACAATATTTATAAATGTAAAAAGTAAACATTCAATTGCAGAAAACCAATTACAAATAAAACATTTTTAAATTTAAGAAACTTTTGTAAGCATATAGCTGCTTATGTAGCTTTTAAATTTGCATTTTAGTATTGATATTTTTATACGTAATATGCTACACTAATTTATAGTTAGGTTTACTAATTTAAATATTATTTTTAAAGATTTTCTTGTCTTTCTTTGCGCAATAACGACTTGTACGAAAATATTTCATTAACGATTATATTTAGAACTTAATTACCTTTTTTTGCTCGAAGATCGCATGATTTCGCACTTTTCCCTCCATTTGTTTATTGATTTTTTATTTATTTTTAAGCTCGAACGATTTATAATATTTCTGTCTGTATTTTGAGTCATACTTTTATTATCATTTTTT